TGGTATGAAATTAAAACGTGCGATAGAAACGGTTCCATACTTTGTGAATAGGACAAAATGTAAGACATAGTGAAAATAGTTTGAACCAGGATCACTTTGTGTACCAATCTCATTTCCTTATTAATTTTCCTTGCCAATTTTATCATGCTTAGGGTGTTGCATATCGCTCTGTATATATTTGAACTTTATGAAAGAAGAGCTTTATCCTTGATAGACAAATAAGTAAGCTGTTCAGGAGGAATCATGTCTTTCTCTGTTGCTATCATTGCTTCTTGTCTCTCATCCCGCTAACATAATCAGCAGCATAATCGGCTCAATCTGTTTGTCCTGTGCCACTGGTGGAATTGAAGCCGTGCTTGCCAGCTTTCCTGGATGGCACTCACCAGCACATTGAATTCAGATCAATTGGTATTCACTAGGCATCTCTTGCTGCCTTTTTGCATTTGTCAAATCCTGGCATGACAACAAGTTCTCCCATGCCCCTGGTTGACGGGTCATCTGGTTATAATCCGATCCATTACAGCGATTCTATGCGCTGCTTTGGTAAACTTTCACTAAATGTGTGCAATCCTGTCCTCACGTTTGTCCCGTCTCTCTACTTTATTTCTTCCACTCACAGAGAGCAATACGCAACACCCACATCCCTGCCAATACGGAAAAATTACACCATGACTAAACACAATTTCACAGTGAAAATAGAGATTTGGCCACAACAGAAGCTAAACATTTATTGTTTTTGTTTTTGTTGTTGTTGCTGTTTTTCCCCTTTCGCACAGTGCTGAACATTTTGGGTTGTGGAAAGATAATCATCTACGGCTTCCACAGATTAGGAAGCCAACCACTTTCCCATGTCTTATGGTAATGAAGGGTTGTTTTTAATAAGATACTTCTATCACAGAACTGTTCTCCTAATATCGCAGCCTAAGTGGTGATGGGGGGTCATTAAGGTCAAATCCAGATTAAATTGCTACTTACTTTTTAATCTTGAACTTTTAACTGTCTATGGAAACACAACGATTTCATAGATGATTATCATGAAATAGCCTTTTGGTTGAAATTAAACTTGTGCTGGGTTTAAATATTTGCTTTTAACTCTATGTGAGGGGTTGTACAAGTGTTTCTGTTATTTAAAAAAAACCTAACAAAAGACCATTTAAATCTGAAAGTCTCAGAGGTACAATGATCAAAGGCTGTAGGTTAAATATTCCCTGTGAAGTAGCTTTATCAGACCAGATCTCCTGCACCTGAGATCTTCTCAAACACTACTTTAATTAACAGATGTGACTTATCAAATATGTCTTTGAGACTATTAAAATATTATTTGCATGTTTAATGAGCCATGTGCATGGAGCCAGAAGTTACTCTTAATGGTATTATCATATTTTAATGAGCACTTCTGTAACATTGAGGCTCACCAGTGAGGCTGTTCCAAACTTTAAGGGCTATTCTGAAGCTCTTATATCACTCATGTTTGGAGTGTTATTCTCAGCATTAACAAGAGAAGTCACATCTGCTCAAGACTTTCCCTCCTCACCCTTCAGAGGTCCATCCCTCCTCTTTCCAAAATTAAGCAAGAGCGCAAAAGAGACCACAGATCGATGAGCACTCATCAGCTTTGCCATCTGGCCTCGGTTTGTTTTCTTAGCAAATGAAGATGATCATTGAGCAGAGTTGGTAATGAAACTTCCATCTACTCGGTTGCTCCTGTTTTACTCAGGCCCTCTGCATTCCACATCAAACTTTATACGAGAACAGATACTGCGACCCAGTAAGCAAGCAAGAACAATAACATGAGTACTGGTGATATTTACATGTGTTTTTTATCTTCAGATTTTCTTAGATAGAGCACCATTTATTTTGTTATTTTTATTGACTAAATTTGTTTCAAATAAAAATAAAATGCGCAAGACTAAACTCAAAATTCTGGATTTTATGTTTAAATACATTGCACAAAGAAAACAATTGCATATTTTGTATTATTATTATTATTATTATTATTATTATTATTATTATTATTATTATTATTATTATTATCATTATTATTATTATTTTGGATAATATAAACTGACACATTTCAGTTGAATATTGTTAAAGATGTTTCAGTCTGTTTGCCCCAGTTCCTGTTTGCATTGCTGCAGCACAAGTAAACAAGTTGTGGCTGCTCTGATATGCACTGTGCTGCCAACTGCTTTATTTTTCCTGCAGCAAGACCCTTTACTTGGATGGTATAACACACCCAGATGGTAATCCCATTACCCACACCAATGCATCCAACCAAAACAACCAGTGGAAGTCAGACAGAAACTGAAGAACAGATCTAGACATTTTTACCAAGAGTAACCAACCACACAAATTCATGGTCACCTTTCTACTTTCACCCATCAAGGCATGAAGTGTCCAAAATAAAACGCCTAATGAAAAAATCTGAAAACATAAAGAATTGAATAACATTATGATGCCCAATGAAAACTTACAAGCTAGAGCATGAGCTATTTAACCCAGAAACATTGTAGAATATTATTGTCGCAACAGTACATTTTAGAATAACATTCCACTTCCCTGTATTCATCAGCTTCAAGAAGAGAAGCTGTGCAATAACAGATAAACAGTTATTGAAAAAGATGGATGGATGGATGGATGGATGGATGGATGGATGGATGGATGGATGGATGGATCGATCTCTGTTCAGGTCTTGAAAACGTGTATGCTCCAGACACGTAAAATTTGGATGCATCTTTTTGAACCAGTGTGAATGAAAATGTTGCAGAACTATGTCTTGCATTGGCCTGTGATCAGAAATGTTAAACTAGCTACCCTCAGCATAAATCGCAAAGAATATTTATGATTTGTACTTTACAGATTTCATATTTCATGCCTTTATGTTCAGTATTAAAGCATATTTCAGCAGGACAAATGTGAAACAATATTTTTAAAATCCATTTATTGCAGAAGTCCTTCAAAAATACTCTAGTTTTGTTTCTGAAGTGGTCTTGAGCAATATTTTCTCAGGCTTTTGGAGTGTGTTTTTTTCTATAAACAAAAGCTGAGTTTACACTCATTTTGAATCCAATCATTTTAGCCAAGAATGCCACCCCACTACCTTTAGTTCGTCACTACGAAATATGATGTCGGGATCAAGTGCAGAGCAGGTACAACAATTAGGAAATAACAAATAAATTGCTGAATTTTAACATATAGTTATTTTAGAGCATTCAGAAATAATTTAAATATAGCAGAAAGTTTAAAGAGACACTGGAAAAGTAGGAAAATTAAACAGCCTTAAAACCATAGATATAATAGGAGCAGCAGCAATATCTTTTTATTTATCTAACTATTTCATCTTCTGAGATGACCTAATCAAAAAGGTACATTACAAGTAAGAAGGTACAAACTAAAACATTGACATTCACATCAAAATAGATAAAACATATATGAAACTAATCTGAGTGTTTTAAATGTAACAATGTGTAGCGCTGGATTGCAGTTTCTCTCTTTTCTTACAGTAGTCTTTAAAATAACTTTAAACTCTCCCAGAGAGTCAAAAGCATTTACCTTTAGTGAACTCTCAAGATCACTTTATGACCATGATGCAAAATAAGAGAACACATTTCAGTCAAGTCTAAGACAGAAACTGAACTCAAAGGGGAAGCAAACTCAGTAATTACAAATCATAGTAAGTGTTTGAAGACATTACAAATATACTCAGAGACACAAGGACATTACCCAAGAAAGCTTTGAACATAAAAATGCCAAGAAACCAGGTTATAAAATACCTTGTACACATTTCTATACAAGAGTAAAGAGAACATGGGTTTATAAAATGCTCTGGGTTCATTTTTTATTTCTTCCAATAATTAAACCTTAGATCTATTCATCTTAACTCTAACACTAAGTAGGAAGTAATTTGACAGCCTGTTCACCTGTTGGGGGAGCCTTAAGACTCAATACAAATAAATAAATACATTAATTAAGTCATGAATTGGTACTTAATTAATTAGTACTTTAAGTTGCACAAACTTGGAGTAAATAGTTCATAGGCTGTTGTCCGCATAAACTTTGATCTCAATTAGAATAGCAAGGTTTTTGCTTATTGGTGTAAAAACAAATTCAAACAACATCTTTTGGGTTTTTCTCTTACTGTCACAAAGCTGTTAAAATCTAATCTAATAAATAAAGCTAACATATTCCCTTCAAATACTCACTTATATCACTTTGGTCAGAAGTACTTATTTTATGAGTGACACCCTTTGACAACTAGGGTGTTTTGGTTTTATTTAGTATGGAAGTGGTGACAGGAAAACACATTTTGTTTTAGTATAATACACCTTCCTCTTCAGCGTCCTTCCAAAGTGCTCTTCACACTGACCTGTCAGTTTCCAACAACAGAACTTTCACCCTGACTCGTATTATACTTATATAATTCCCCATTCAACACCCAGAATCCTTTGGGAATTAAAATGAGGGGCCCCGGGGGATTAGAAGGCAGTGATTAGTGGCAAAACCCAACGGTTTAAACGGCACATGCCCCAGTGAGACCATTGACACCACCCCGTAGCCCATTCCTTTGTTTGTTTGAATGACACTCCAGCAGCACCATACCACCCATTCACAGTTCTCGTTCATTAGCTTCCTCAATAGCTAGGCAGCTTTAACTGCTTCTTCGCCCAGCTGCCTGTCTTAACTGCCCACACAAGGGCTATTGAAAAGCTCAAAATCAAAAGTGTTGACCATTCACAAAATAAAGCCTTTTGTAACTCATTACTTAAGGAAAACTTTTATATATCTCTATATAGCATTTAAGTGATACCCAGTCATTTTCTAACAAAAAACTATACAAGTCTGATGTTACTTAATTTCATTGCTATGTTTAGCAAAAAAAAAAAAAACTACATTTTTAAATGAATACAAAAATCTGATTGGTCAGAACACTGACGTGACACGACACCATTGGTGGGAAGCTTGACTTTCACATCCCTTTCAAATGATGCAAGTGCCAGATGCCAGGGGTCACCGGGGTTCACTTCCAGCAGATGACTGTCACGGAAATCTTCACATCTATTCAAATGTGTGAGGCCCCGAAATTCCAGATCAGCAGCGACAGGATGTGATGTCGTTTTCTGGTAAGCTGATACACACAATGTAGGAGAACAACAGCGACAATATGGACAACACGTGCTCCATTGTTGCGGTGGAAACTGAGACATACGGCCTTTTCCCCCTGGGGCTTCCTTCCACCTCATATCTGTCTTTGTTGTCGTTGGTTGTAGACAGCATGTGACTCCAATGCCATCATAAAAAAACGTGGGCCCCACTGTTAATGTTATGTTTTAAAATAATAAGTACTTACATGTGTGGTGGTTACTGATGCCATAGGGGGAAAAAAAATCCAAATTTATTGAAAGCTTGTATTTCACTTTGTAAACTGAGGATGGATAAACTGAGTGAGTTGCAATTAACGGAAACAGAAAGGCAAACCTGAAAAATCCAATCAAAACTCCTATCTGCAAAATCCAACGGAAAGATGGAGAAACTAATAGTCCCACTGCCTTTGTACAGTAATTGTTGAATTTGATGTTACTCGGGATATCAGAGTGATTCATTCTGGTTTTGGTGTATTTGTTCATTTACCATTGTCAAAATATTTTTGGCAGCAGTTTTTTTTGTTTCACCGTATTGACAAGAAAAATATAAGCAAATTGCTCATGGTCTAATGTTTTATTAGATTATGTATAGCCAACAAAATATCTCCAATATACCTTGGTACTTTGGAAAAAAATATTTTTTATAATCCAGGAAAAAAAAAACATTACTGCTCCTACAACTTGAACACATGATATGACATGCACACAAGCACGCTCTGTCCTGTGTATCTGGCAAAGGTTGAAATGTCAGCCAGTAAAGAGCTTTATTAAATGGAGCTTAACAAAATCTGCAGAGGTGTTGTTCAATAGTTTGTTTTACAGCCAACCAGAATAGCACTTACTTTGTCAGTTTTAAATAGGCTGCTGCTAAGATTCAGGGAGTTGCAGGCTAAAACTGGGTGTGCAGTGGAAGTGGCACTGTGCCACTACTTTGTTGTCAATATACATACAGTATATCTAAAAATGGAAATCTGATGAAAGGAAATTAAAAAAAATTATCCCGAAAGGTAAATAAAGTACTCAGTTGTGAAGAGACAAAATGTGCTAAAGGGACGGTATTTTTTTATATTATATTACAGTCTGAAAAACTTTACCAAGCTCTTGACATGTGATATATTCAAAGTCATATTTACTTTTTTCAAGTTCTGAACAGACACTTTTATTAAATATTGTAACAATATCAGATATTATCCTTACTCATTAATGGTGAAAAACCATTAATGAGTAAGGATTTCTGCGCAAAACTGAATTAGTTGTATGCAGGGCAATAAAACTAATTCGGCTGAATTATTTTCATCCTGGCATGAAAATATTAACATTCATGTTTTACATTTTTGAACCCATTCTTTTATTTATTACATTTAATTATTTATTACTAAGACTGATTTGTGTTACTGTAAAATTAATAGGAATAATTTTGATTTTTGGAAGCATAGAAAAAAGCTGTTCAGCAAAAAAAAAAAAAAAATATTGCCAATAATAATAATGTCTTCTGTATTTATCAGCTGCATATACTGATATTAGAAGAGAATGATATCTTGTACGGGTTTGTGTGCCGGGGCGGAAGCAGCGTGCTGAGCTGTGTTAACGAGCTGACTGTTCCTGCTGCCCTCTGTGTGCCAACGCCAACTGTTAAGAAAATTAAATTGATACATTTGTTATTGAGGAGCTTACCGTCTTGGAGGTACGCTACCTAACTGAGGGGTTATGTAATTGACACATCTATTTGTAGGTGTTGGAGGAAGTAGAGGGAATTATGCATGTTTATGAAAGGGTAGGAAGGGAAATTTAACAAGGGATCTCTTTTAGTGCTGGAAGGATTTCCGAATGGCTTGCTTCTGTTGTCAGGAATATTTGTTCAGGTTAATTCTGTTTTCTACACAACCAGTGGACCACTGCCAATTGCTTATTTAGCTTCCACAAAGGACCTTCGTATGGACCTTTAATGCTTTAAAATGCTCTTTAGCCATGTTGTTTTGTCAGCTTGTCTAAAAGTAGTCTTCAGTAATCTTTTTTTTTTTTTTTTTTTTTTAGAATAAACCAAAAACAACAGTTTATATTCGAACCTTACAATAAGGAATCTTTTTTTTTTTCATTTACTTTCTGCTTGAGATGAATAAAATAATTTTGAATTTAGTTGAATTTTTTAATCTGAAGTTCTTTACTCATGAAAAATTGAGCAACCGTTGGTTGCTCACCAAGAATGGTGAGCATGTAACTTTAGCATGCCCACCAAAAACTAAGACTAAAACGTACTCTTATTTTTTAGTCTTTGACTAAAAATTATATCCAGTCAGTAAACACTGTAGCTTCCTGAGACAAGTGTCTGTGCAATTTCATCAACTCATGCGTAGCATAGTAAGCACGGATTATTGTCGTGCTAGCAGTGTTACTATAAAGGATTTGGTGCACTGTCACTGAGTAGGCATGGGGATGCAGTGGCCAGTACCCCTTTAAAGTAGCTAAAGATTGAACAGGAAAACATAAGTGTGGGACAGTAAACAGAGTGGACATATTGCAACTGTTATCACACAACAAAAAATACACCATCACAACCTTTTTACTGAAGTTTTGTGCTTATTTACAACAATCAGCAAACTTTTAATTAATGTGGGAAGGTGAGCCCACAGATGATGATAAACTGTTGGATGAATTCCCTGGGACAGAAGACAGATTTTTAGTTTTACTTGCACAATAATAATGGGATATTAATCTTGTCCATAGAGGAACTATCTATGCTAAACAATTTTTTATTTATTTTTTTTTTATTTGTTTGGCATAGATCCATGATTTATTGCAAACTCAGTAAATCATGGATATACATTAAAAACCTCTTGGTGCTGACACATAACCAACCCAATATTTTAATTATCTTCATTTGAGGCAACTAACACTAGACCACACCAGTAATAAAATTTGCATCATACCAAGTAGTAGATTTTGTACATATCTACTACTTGGACAACATTTGTACATATTTTTTACCCACTGTTAATTTAATGGCTAGGTGTCTGGTTTCTGTATCCATACTGCATGTACTATGCCTTTGTGAAAAAAAAAAAAAAAAAAAAAAAAAACATTTCTGAAGTGCTATTACATTCTCATAAGTGAAAAGAAATTTATGTCCCCCACTTGTATGCTATTTCATAGGTTGTCACACACATTGAGCTCTTTTAAATGGTTATTTGTTTTCAGTTTATTTTCATATGCTTTTATTTCTATCAGTATAACCCTAAACTCCCACTATGTCCTCCACAATTCGTTTTTTTTTTCCAAGATAATATTACTTTTCTCATCCCTAAATGCAGAAGCAATAATGAGCAGAGGCATCAATCCTACTTTCTGACGTTTTACGCTTGAAGAAGAATTTTCATGTCAGGCAATAACTGCTAGTGAGCCTCAGTGGCACAAGCTCTGGGCTTGCGCCTACACCAAAGCCTAATGGGATAAATCAGCTCTTGCATAACTAGGGGCAATCACTCACTCCGTCTCCCCCATGACAGAACTCAGTTATGGCTTCTGGATAATATCATTTCTGTTATCTTAAGATATCAAATTTCTGTCTTTATTGGCAAAGACCTTAGCAAATGGAAGGTAGTTTGCTTGCCTTGGTAAGACAGGATGAAAAATGAAAGCATATTTATCCATCTCAAAAGCCCCATTTCGGGTAGAGAGCTCAGGACTGAGGTGACATGTTCAAGGAATCAGCAATATCTCACACACTTCAGTGGTGCTGATGTTTTATTAAGGCAGAATAGTAAAGTCTCTACCAAACGCACAACTTTTGCACCACTAGTTTCTAATTGATGAATATCATATTGTGATCTTATCATCGTGAAATATTCAAAATGTATATAAACTTCTTTTTTTTTTAATTTGTTGCTTTTTTTTTAAATTGAGGTATTATGCTCATGTAATAAGTAGATGGCTTACTGTCATTACTAATTTGTCTTCCTCAGTTATTTGAAGTAGACCAGGGACCCTCAAGTCCAGGCCTTGAGGTCTGGTGTCCTGCAACTCTTTGATGAGTCTCTGCTTCAACACACCTGAGTCCAATAATTAGGTCATTAGCAGGATTTGGAGAACTTGACTGCACAGTGAGCTGGTGATTAAGGCATTTGATCCAGGTGTATTGGACCAGGGACACATCTAAAAGTTGCAGGACGGCTGCCCTCGAGGCCTGGCTTTGAAGACACCTGGGGTAGAGTATTGCTCTGCCAGCACTGCAGATATAACTTCTTCGGCATAAAGCTCTGTGCTCTAAGCATGTTTATACATCAGTGCAAAAACAACTTCCCACTAACACAATAATTGCTGTAAATATTTGGTTCCACAGAGATTGATGAGGGAGACGAAACACTGCGTGACGTTTAGCAAAAACGAATCTGAAAGTTTGTCAGTAAAGTTAAGGAAAGAGCTCCATGGTAGGTTATCCATGTGTGAAAAGGATGCATTCTACTTTTTTTTCCCACCATTCTTTCACAGTTTGAGCTTGATGAATCCTGGCAGTGTCATCCTCAGGACATATTACCACGGCAATTATGGGGAAAACCATGAAGACATTAGATTTAGTTAAAGATTCTACTGATGCCAGATCTGAAAATGTACTGAGCTCTATTGACCCTTGAAAACACTCTGTGTGGTGGCAGGACATGCACAGTGCCTGTTCAGATCTGGTATCAGCATGTGCCCTAGCTGATAAGGAACTAAGGAGACAAGCCCAAAAACCACCATGCACACCTGACATTACAATTCAATTTGTGTCGTCGTATCATAGCTGCACTCTTTGAAAACTAATAGACTTGAAGCCTCATCAAAGAGCAAGTTGTCAGTATAAGTATCCAAAAGGATTTTAGCAGGCTTAATGACACCAGGTCAACATTATTTCCTCTTATATGAAATGGCTTTGCTTTTCCCTTAGCTATTTCAAAAAATATATGAACAATGGACTAGCGCTATGTCTAATGAAATGATCCAAA